TGTGTATGTTAATACCACTGATAAGCTCTATTTCTGTGTATAAGAAAAGTGGATGGAATTTTATTAAGCCCTTGAAACAGCTGCGGTTCATCTAGTGTGGGAGCCACTTCTGCGTGCGATGAGTCACAAAAGAGATTTTAAAAAGTGACAATTGAAAGTGTTTTCAAAGCAGTGTTACATGGACAAGATGCTGTTACGTGTAGGAGTTATAACAATTAAGAAAAGTTGGCTTCCTACATTTTAAATTGGGAAAACAAGGTTCTCTCTGAACCAGGTATTAGCCTTCTATGGGGAAAAGCAAGTGGTTAGGTTTCTAGGTGGATCACTAGAGAAACAGTTGTCTGGAGAACAATTTCCCAATTTAAGAAAATCAAATCCCAGTGTGATTAACCTACTATACATTTTCTAGGACAGCTGAAACGTTGATCTGGGGAAGTTCTCATGTGAATCTATCAAACACTCATGGCCACTGAAGTAGCATTTTCAGGATAGAGCATTTTTAGGTAATTAGGAGAAAAGTTACAATGTTTCACTGTTGGTTAATTAGCGGTTTACACTGAATACTAATAAGGCTAAGATTTGATTTATAAAGGCAAAACAATCGGATACAATGGAGAATATACAGGTACCATCTCTCTCCTATTTAATACTAGATATATAATTTCAGCAAACATACGGTGGCAATTTTCACAATGCATCAAATGCCTCTTAGTGACTAAAATTTCCAATCCATTAGATAGTCCAAACGTTACTAAAGAAGTTAGTAAAGATGAAGTCAAGCAGCTTAATGTTATAGGACTCAGTAGGTCTTATGTTAAGGTTAACATTAAGTATAACCGTAATTAATCTAATTTGTGGCTAAAAGGGAAGGAAGTCTGAATTTTATATCAGCTAGGTACAGTATACAGAAACAAACCATCCTATCACATAAGTTCTCATGCTGTGGGCTACAGAGCACGTGTTTGTGTTGCTGGGACCGTGGCAATCACAAGGTGCTAGCTCCTCCTTGTTATCAGTTTAGAATCAATGGGTGTTTTTAGACGTGTTCCAGGGGTGGGCGGGTGCCTTAATTAGCGTGGCTCTGAGAGATGCTCTAATTAAAGTGCCCCAGGTGTCTTGAGCATGAGCATCCCTGTGCTTCAAAATGGCAGTGGGAGCTCTTTAAAATTCATTGTACAAGCCGTAAAAGCAGCCCCACTGCCATTTTGAAGCATGGGGATGCCAATACACGAAAAACAGAGGCTGTCGGAGCACACTAATTATCATGCTCCAGCAGACTTGATTAATCAAGTCTGCTCCAAAGCACGGTAGTTACAGCACGCTGGAGCAGCCTCCCCGCACTCATACTCCTGACAGAATGGATAATGGATCCAAAACAGTTCAGTGTTTAAATCGGGAACAGCATGAGAAAATGAGGTGGAGATGGAATTGAGAAGAGAAGCCTGAATACTTTATTCAGAAAAGGGAGTGAACAAAAGTGCATAGACATATACAAATCAAGGTTAGAGATGTTTCTTTGATAGTAAGCTTGTATCTAAATTCAGACTGTTGTAAGGAGTGGAAAGTGCCTTGACAGAATAGAGCTAGAAGGTTACAAGTAGGAGGGTGTTGCTGCCACCTCACTTTTTATAATAGAAACTGACCTCTGGGCATCCAGGTTTTGCTTGTTTTTAATTGTTACTTACAAAGGAAAGTCAATGCCATTCATTTTAAACAAACTCAAATTAACCTGAAACTTCAGGATCTTGAATTCTGTCATCGGGTCAGAATGCAACTGACACAGGCATATAGGGTGCCTATACACGTGCTCCAACCTGTTCCAGTTTGAACGTGTCAGAACAGACTCAATTAATGGATTAATTGAGTCTGCTGGAGCATTCGAATTAGAACGCTCCACTGTGCTGCAGCATCCCATATATTCAGCATCCCACATCTCAAAATGGCAGCAGGGGTGCTTTAACTAAAACTCAGACAAACTTTAGTTAAAGCACCCCTGCAGCCAATTTTGAAATGCAGGACACTGAATGCATGTGATACTATGGCATTTTAATATGAGAGGTTCTCCCAGAGCCAGTCTAATTAAAGCACCTCCTCCCCACCCCCTTCCCAGAGCATGTATGTATACATCCATAAAGACAGTCTCCCTCAGGTGAGAGAGAAACTTTTTGGGAAATACTTTGGCGTAAGAGCAGCGATTGGTATCTTTATCCAGGGAACCTGGTTTAGAGAATACACGTTCTTCTCCCCTCCTCTCTTTTCAGAAGAAATATTCCTTGCTTGTAAAATTAAAAGGAATGTGGCAGCTTTTTGAGGACTTTTCCCAAGCTTGAGTAGATTAATATCAAAACTTGGTCCTGGGTCATCCTTCCTAGATGCAGAACATTGCCTCAAAGTAGTACTGAATAGGAACTCAAGGACTGCTGTTCTTTCTACTAGTATTCACATGTTTTGTACCCAGAAATGCTGTAACTGTTTTCAAATTAAAACATTCCTAGGACAGTGATATTTGTTTGAAAAAGTATAGGGAGATATATCTACTATACATCAAATACAGTAGATGCATCTCAAGCCTACCAACTAAAAGGAGACAGATGGCTACATTCTTCTCACAAACTTAAAAGCCTGGATTTTTAAAAGTTTTGGGGCATTGCTCTTTCTCTGGCCTTATAGAGGTTGCATTCTTGGCTGAAGTATGGACTTAGCATCAATCAGAAGTATTGGGGAGCGCTCCCAGCCAGCCCAACCTCTAGCTTGTAGTTAAATCCCACTCCTTGCACAGTGAGAAACATAGATTTGAAGCTTGGATGGAGGAAGAATTTAACCCAGGTCTCCTACTTTCTGGAGGATGTACTATAACCATTGAGCTATTATCTGAAAGGTTGATAACACCACCACCACATCATTTTGAAAGAATGAACTAGTCATCTCTACCCAAAGGAATGGCTTAAGACACTGCAGTACAGGAAAGGGTTTCAGGTTCTGAACGCTGGTCTCAGATAGGTGTTTATCTGCAGTCCTAAGTTAGGTCCCTCTTTGCAATGTTTCTCTTGGCTGGCTTCAGTGCATTTCTGTTTACGGAACTTAACAAAGTCAATTGTGGAAATTCTGCTTCTACAGCAGGTGTCTAAAAGCAAGGTGATGTTCATAGTCACCAACGTTTCTCTATAGATTTGGACTTTAGAAGCTTTCAGTGTGACCAACTCCCATAAATCACTTTTTTAATTAGGAATTAGGCCTTGCATTGGTGAGCAGAGCAACGCTTAAATACCTCTTAAAACATGGGTCTCCAGCTACATTGCAGGGTTCAGTAGAGCCCTGCAAACGTAAGAGAGAACAGTCTGACCATCTGTCTTCCTTAGCTCGTGCCATACTATTGAATAACAAAACTAGCAAACAAGCTCCTAGAAGCAGAAATATCGAAGGTGAAAAAAAGAAAGTTGTTGAAAGATGCATTTGCAAACTGGAACGTAAAGCATCCTTCTGGCTCCGCTGCAATAGCTGGAATCTCTGACATACAGCCAAGATCTAGAAGGAGCAAAGCTGAAGCTATGATTGATCTATTGAGCGAAGGGGGGAAAAAAAAAAAAAAAAAA